CCTGTCATTTTGCTTTATTTGATTTTTGATTCATCACGGGGTTCCTCTTACGTCATACTCCGGGGTTCCCTTAGGCATTTATGCACATGCGCACTCTTCAAAAACGGCGCTTATTGAGGACGCGCTAAAATGTATAGATTAAAATGTATATATAATTAAATTGAGTTAGATATAGATATATATAGATACTGTATATACTGTATAGGTCAGGAGCTGTAGTTCCTACCACGTAAGTTTGCGACGCTGTTTGCGAATGTTCATTTGAACTATGGTTTCGGAAAACACTGAATCGTTGAACTATGTTGGTAAAGACGGAACTTGCGACCATAGTTGGCTAACTATGCTTTTGGGAAACGCACCCCAGATTGTTTTAAAGGAGTCACCGGATGCAAAATTCCCTTTTGTTGTTGTTTGAACATAAATGTGTGTTGGAAGTGTGTGTAAACATCCATCCTATAAAGATAAAAATCCACCCAGTGGTTTTTTTAAATCCCTATTTTAAAATCCCCTTTCTCAAATCAGGCTGTTCTGAGATTCCTGTCAGAATGATGTAGTTCTGCACAGGCCCCTCCCACGATAGTTGATTGACAAGTCCGTCTTACCTTAGACCTGCCCTGAGTGAGCTGTCATCAGTCCGCCATTGTGTCGACTCCGGTGCAGGGGAAGACAAGAACGTCTCCGATTAAGCAATTGAGGGGTTTTGTTGTTGGATGTAATAATGAACATAGCTGTCGTAATTTACTCCTGGCATCTGAGCCGCTGAAGACGCAGAAGATTAACATTACTTTCGTTTTGAAGGGAATGCGCCGATCCCCGATCTGCCTAAATGCGTCTATGTTCGCGCAAATCATTTGTGATCGAGCTTCATCTACACAAGAACTGAGTATAAGGTTTTTTATTAATCTTTGCAAATCGCCTTTCCTAATATGTGCTAGTTGGCAAGTTTCGCGGCTAAAGTAAACAGTACTGCTCGTCACCCACAGAAGAGAGGGGCGGTGTGAGCAGAGCTCATTAGCATTTAAAGCAACATGGACTAGAATTGCTTGCTAAAAACAGAGCTCATTTTGACAGGGTAAAAAAGACATTTTAATCAAAGTATGTTATAGACTTTTCATAAAGACCCTAAAGAATCATATCATCTTATATCAAATGGGCATCCGATGACCCCTTTAAGAAAATGCTAAATTCTTGTTTAATATTGTATTTGAGTGTCTGATCAAATAAAATGTCTACTTATCGAAAATCTACTCATAAAATGTAAACATTAGAATCAATTATCCTTTTGTAAGTAAGTGTGTGTGTGTGTGTGTGTGTGTGTGTGTGTGTGTGTGTGTGTAATCATATTCTGGGGACAAATTTGTACCCAGAAGGGATCTAAACCTGACAAAAGCTCCTTTTGGGGATATTCGGGGATTTCCTCATTGGTAAAAACTAGTAGTCCACCATTACATTGCCAAGGCTGATACATTGGCCGATGTTTGCTATTTTTTAATTATAGGCATCGCCCAGTGAGTTTTTCTATTTGGATAATGTGTCGCAAGCAGGACTTTTATTTTGACAGCTCTAAGAAGATACGCACCAAGATTCCCAATACAAACAGACTTGCATTGGCTTTATCGTCCATTGGCCAGCCTGCTCTCTAAGATATCGGCATCAGCACATCAAAAAATCTATATTGGTTGACCACTAATAAAACTATATAAAAATACTGTAAATAAGTGTTTTGAAACTGCTTGTTTTTCAATAGACATTTAACTTGGGTTTATCTTGAATAGTTTGCATTAATTAATTTTCTGTTAAGTGTTAGGGTTACAGTATTACAGTTACAGGTAACTACCTGTACATAAAACAAAAGTCTATGTAATGTCCCCATTTAAATAGCTGAGTAAAAGTGTGTGTGTGTGCATAAGTGCGTGTCTGCTCTAGTTGCCACTCTGGGCATTTTTTGTTCTTCATGTTTGTCAGAGCTGAGTAGATGGCTGCTCTCAGAGCAGTTCCTCCCTATTGGACGATATCCAGACTCTCTTCCTGCCCACAGCTTTACTGCATGGTCCCTCACTGTCCCTGAATGCACCCTCTGCCTACATGTCCTCCTCTCTTCTCTTTATGTCTCTCCTAATAAATCCTAATTGTTCTTGATATCGCACCCTCTCTCTGTTGAAATTGTTTGGAGATCAGGGTCTGGCTGTGGGTTCTTTTCAGCTCATGCCATGTGCTTCTGATTCCACAGAGCCATCAAGGCTGTTTGGCTGCCGCTGGATTTGATTTGTGAGAGTAAGGTGGTATCTCTACCATAGAGGTGAGGACATAATGAAATAGAAAGCAGGATCTTTTGATCATATTCTCAGAGGAAATCTGTGATTCTGGGTGTCCTTGCATTCTCACTTTCCCCTTTCTTCATCTCTCACTGTGTTCACTGCAAAACATTTTTTGTCTTATTCTCAACACAAGATGCATCTACTTGATGCAAAACTATGTATTATTATTATAATTAATATATTAAGCCTTGGTTTCAGAGAATATATTAAGTTTATTGTTGTTATCCCATTAGCAAATTATTTTATTTTAACAATAACTAAATATTATTATATTTACATTTATACAAGACATGTCTTGTTTTGAAAGAATATATATCTTGAGTTAAGTTTATTTTTGGTATCCCAATGTCAAATAGTTTTTTTTTTTTTTTTTCATTTTAACCATAATTCTCTGAAGCATGTCTTAATATCTTCTATCTGTATGCTTCTCAAGTAAATATATCTTGTTTTAGGGATATTTTAGTGGAAAACAAGACCAAAATAATGATTAAGAAAAAAAATTTTGCAGTGGGCTTTGAGAAACAGGTTGAAAGAATGGTGAGCTATTTTCAAATGGATTATCCTCGGCATCTCGCAATCTCATGAGGATCAGTGCAATGTTGAACAGCAGCTCTCCTTTGCAACATAAAAGTCAAACTAGTGCATATGTATTTTACCCTTGCTTTTAGGAGTGTTTCATGCAAGGTCCCCCATGCACGCAGGATTTGGAGAAATATTCCTGGTGCTGTGGCTTCAGCATCCATAAAGTCTTTAGAATAACACTACTACATTATTTTTGCTTCTTACATTCACTTTGAACCTAAAAAAAGTTCCTGTTGCTCACTTTTTCCACTGTTTGTGGCCCTTCACACTTTCGTATCTCAGAGAGTGGGTCATTTTAGATCCAGCGCAGTGCTGCATCATCCTCCCCTGTGTCGTTTGGATCTATGGAAACACTAGGGATCAGGTACTGAGGGGAAGATAAATAGAGCAGCACATCTGCAGAATACTTCAAGCAGGAGGCCCAATGAACCATGCCGCTTTGTAATTATAATAAAAAATACAAATGATGGGTGATTTAGGACTGCCATGTGTGCTGGGTGGAGACTCGGCCTCCCATTAAAGACAGTGTGGCCCCCATATAGGCAGTCTAGTGGAGGGGTGCCAGCCAAAACGGAATGATAATGAGGACATTGGCTCGCTTCAGAGAATTGGGGTGTAATTGAGTTAATGAATGCATTCTGTTGCATCTCTGATTGAGCGCATGTCCCTTCGGCACTTCCTTTAAAGTGTTCTGACTGTTCTGTGTGTGTGTGTGTGTGTGTGTGTGTGTGTGTGTGTGTGTGTGTGTGTGTGTATGTGTGTGTGTGTGTGTGTCGACAAGCTCACTTCCGCATTCTCCTCCGCCTGACATTGAGATAGTTCATTCAAGAATTAAAATGGTGATAATTTCTCTCCCGTATGTCTTTACCTTTTATGTCTTCACCGTCTGACTTGATTTAGTAACTATATAACTAGCTGGTTTATGACTGGGAATGTCATGATTCAAAATGACAAAAATGTCATCAAAATAAACTAAATAAACCCCAAAATTCAAGATAAGGAGGCAAAAACTGTGCCTACACAGTTCAACTAAATCTGTTATGACTGTTGCAATTAAACTGAGATATGTGTTTATTGCGGCATTACAATTAGATTAGTTTGCAAAATCCGATTTTGTTTTACGCAGTTTTTGCTGCATCAAATATTGTAACCAGTCGTACACATTTCTGCTTAAAAATGCAAGGCCAGTCAGAGGATTTTGATTAATCACTGCTGAAAATGCCAGAGTTTTGTTTAGTGCACTTTCTCAGTCTCGCAAATTCTCTGTTTCAGGGATTTTTGAGAGAGAGCATAACTCGCGCAAGACTGGAGTCATGGGCCGCTTCAGTGATGGAGAATGTGTGAATGTGAAGTCTTGATTTTCTAATGTGTAAAAAGCAATAAATAAATGGTTCAATTCATAAATGGTTCCTGGCTTGTTTTGTCTGTGTATCCTGCAAGAATAACGTCTTTTTAATGTATTCTATTAATCAACATTATTAATCATTATTGCAATATTAAAAATAATAATAAGTTGCCCATACACAAGTAAAAAATGCCCCTGGAAATCAGTCCTGCACATGTGACCTTTATTTCTTTATGTATTATTCCAGGTCTTCTGTAGCCATATAAAAGTGATTTTGTAAGAAACAAACAACATTTGAAATATTAAATGGAACATTTTATTTGCAAATCTGCACATTGAGATATGCAAAAAACGAATGGAGATCGACATCATTGCCAAAATTGGAACGAATTTTGAAGTGCCATATTTGAATATATGTAAACACAAATGAAATTTTAGAGCTATTAGTTTCAATGAATAACTAATTAAATTTTGGTCTGTTCCTCACACAAAGTAACTGTATAGTTTCAAAAGACATGAAATATAATGCATTGGTCTTCTTATGGACTTCTTTTGTGATTAATTTGTGTTATTTTGGGAGCTTGACAGTCTAATGTCTTTGGAATGATTTGAAGGTAAGTAAATGATGACAGAAATCTAATTTTTGGGTGAACTATCCCTTTAAGGCTTCATGGTTGCTCTTTTTTATGTCATTGGATCTTCTGCCACATAGTTTGCTTGAAGGCTTAGTTTAACTCAGTGTGTTTCTCCTACAGATCGGTCAGTGGCATTCAGAGCAGGGACTGTCCATGGAGAGGAAGCTTCCATCACTTAACGTGACAGACACACTATTCAACACCACTCTCACCATAACTACCATCCTGGTAAGTCCTATCTTCTGCTCTGGTCCAGGTTCCTCAGTAGAGGACACACCCTACACCCACACCCTTTAGCCAAGAGATTTACACACACACCCTGGAAAGGATAAATAGTTGCTCCTTTTTGAAGGAGTCTCTCTTTAGCTTCCAGAAATGGTCTGTCTATTCTCTGATCACCTCAGGGTTCAGCACTGATCTAAATAAAGGCTCTTCTCCTCTGAGATGAGTGGAAACTAACAAGTATGCGTGTGATAGCATTTCCTGGAGCAGCAACCACCAATTGATGATGTAATCCGCTAGGCTGTTATCTAGAGGCAATTTTCTCATCTTCTCATACACTGTATAGTGATGAGAAAAAAAGAGGTTCTCCGCAGCCTTAGGCCAGATGTTGCATATCTGGCTAGGTCACCTCTCACTAGAAAAGAGAGAGGAATAAAGAGACTGCGAATGAAGAGGGGCCATGCAAGGTAAATGAAGTGCTCGAAAGCCCATAAATAGCTGGTTTAAAGCAGCCTTGTTGAGGACAGATGGAGAAATCTTCTTTAGTTCAATTTACACCTGATGAAAGGTATGATAAGCGTGAAGAACTGCTGAAAAGACAAGCACAGTCATGCAGTTTGAACAGCATGATGCATTTTATAAAAGCACTTACATTAATTATTTTGGTTAAACTTATTTTGAGTATTATTTTTGTAATTGCTTTGAGCTGTAAAGTTGTTCTCATTATTTTTATGGTTGTTTGGGATTTAGATGTTACGTTGCCAAGTAGTAAAATTGGCTTTAACATTACACAGAAAAAGGTTAAGTGATTTTTTTTACAGTTAACATCATGTTGTGGCTATACTATTGAAACACAATAGTATACTATTGAGTATTTTAATGTTTATAGATTGGAGATATTCATGTCTGTTGGAAGTGCCTGTAAACCAGATTTTGTTTATTTTTTATTATCTTTCATTCTTTTTTTTTTTTTAAGAAAAAGATTATATGATGTGCAGAAGAAGCTGTCACCATTAGGGGCAGTCGTGGCCTAATGGTTAGAGAGTCAGACTTGTAACCCAAAGGTCACGGGTCTCAGGTCCAGCAGGGATTGTCGGTGGGGGGAGTGAATTACCAGTGCTCTCTCCACCCTCAATACCACGACTGAGGTGTGACCCTTCAGCAAGGCACTGAACCCCCGACTGCTCCCCGGGCGCCTGTGTGTGTTCACGGTGTGTGTGTGCGCACTTGGATGGGTTAAATGCAGAGCACAAACATCACGTCCTTTCCTTTCCTTTCCCTTTCCATGAAATCAAAATGGACTATTTATAATGGAAGCATTTCGGTGTTTATTCTTAATTATTTATCCATGCACATCATTACAGTAAAACAGTAACTTCCCCTCCTCTCTCAGCGTCATCGATCCAATGATCCAGTCAATTCCTGATGGACAAAATCAAGCCCCACCCCAACGTTTTTCTTATTCGAGAAACTGTTTCACTTGGATATACGTCACAATTTAACTCGTTATAGCTTGTTGAAAACCCTGGTGGGAACATCAGCACACCAGCTTCCAATACAACATACACTCTAAAAAATGCTGGGTTAAATATAACCCATCGCTGGGTTAAAAAGGGACAAACCCAGCTTTTGGGTTGTTTTAACCCAGCTATTGGGTTGTTTTGACCCAGCGGTTGGGATGTTTTGAACCCAGCATTTTTTAGAGTGTATGCTGGTGTTTTCAGCAGGTTTATGAAAAACTGCTGTGCAGTACTGTAAGTGAAATAGAGATGATTATGTCGGGGAGGTGTGTGTGTTTCACTAAAGGAAGGAGTGCAATACAGGTGGAGCGATTAGTTTCTCTCAGATCTTTTATTGTTAATGTGCTTGATGATGTTGCAGCTGGGAGAACTGGGGAGAAGTTTGCACTGTGTGTTTATTCCTCTTTAAAGATATACGAAGACTTTGGCTGCATTAAAGAGCCACCGAAGAGCAATTTCAGCTCTATCACGGCCCATTCATCACAGGCTGATTGCAAAGTCTGCTTTATCTGGGTAAACGCAGCACAGTTGAAAACATGCTGCAGAACTTAGCACCTGTGGACCACTCCACCAGCGTTTTCATTACTGCTCTGAGCGTTTGTCATCACAGGAGTTAAAGCACACACACAAACAAAAATAATTAAATTTTACCCTGTTGAAATGGGCTAGGTCAAACATTTTTGTAAGGATAGACACTATATTAGAGCTGGTTTGGCTTGTAGTGGTAAAGCTGTCTAAACTGTACAAACTGTTCTGTGGGCTTTTGTAGTTGGTATTGATGCCTTTGGCATTGTATCATGTGCAGAAGGAGACAGAGCTTTTGTGCTTCATTGAGAAAGCAAATAACTCATGTTTGTTTGTAACTTTTTTTTTTACTCTGCTTTTCATAACTCACAGCCTTTGATTGAGAAAAAACTGTGTTACTCTGCCATTGATTGACTGGTTAGTGTGGCAATTGGCAGATTTGGTAAAGATATAATATCCAATTTAATATATGATACAATATTAACTCACTTTAACTCGTTATGTATTAGAGAACTTCTCAGAGTAATATTACTCCTTTAATACTCATTAATATTGCTGATTAATTTCTGAACTTACAGTAACTGTGAGGAATAATGTGTACTTAAATGGGGCATGAAGTATTTTATAAAGCTTTCTGAAGTCCTTATAATGTTTGTAGGATAATTACAAAACTGCCGTAATTTAGAAATACATTTCTATGCTGATTTCAGCCCTCTGATTGAAAAACTTGGTTTAAATGGGAGAATCTCCTTTAAGACTTGTAAATGTAAACGGACACTGCTATGATTTGCTGACATCTTTGCATATGAATAAGTATTACATGTACTCTTTTAAAAACTTTTACTATGTTTTTACCATCATAGCTGCTGGGATTATCTAATCGTGAAAAGTATCTAATCTACTCCTATTGCTTTGATTACAGATGTTCATTAGGCATTAGTATATTTTAACTGTTTTTATATAAATATACTTTATATAAAACTATATATAACTTTATATTTATTTAGCACACTCTTTTTCGTAGAGAGAACTTCAGTGAGGGCATACTAAGTGCTAACTTGTAGAAATTCATGTGTTACAATTGGCCACAGTCCCTTCGTAATCATTACTGGTGTGTAGTCGACCAGTGGGCAATGGGGCCGGAGGTGAATTCACAGTTGTACCACTGCTTTTCACATACCTCCCGCTGTACTCAGCCAGGCACTACAAGAGCTTTTGGGTTTGCTCTGTTTGACACAGTTATTGCCTGATTTGCATAATTCCCTCAGTGAGTCAAATACTAAAACAACACAGACAGTGTGTGCAAATACAAGACACTGCTGTTTTATTTGTGTTTAATCATTTTTCAACTTTTGTGTGCTGTCATTTGATTCCGTTTGATATGCTTTCCCTTCAACAACTGCTTGCTTTCTCAGATAAAGCCGTTGTCAGGACCTTTTTTCTTTTCTAAGCTCAAATACATATTGTTTTGCCTTTGAAACTGGGTTCACATTCCGTTCACTCTATAAAATCGCCTTTCTATGATGCTATCTGCAGTGTTTTTCAAAACGCCACATCATGCTTGAATGGAATCACTGAGAAAAGTCATGTGAGCCTTTGCCGTCCCGAATTGTCTCTGAGAACCCATCTTAAAAAAAAGAGTATTATTAATCTGTATAGGTGCAATATCAGAAGACAATAATGTGACATGGATTGGATACTGTATTACTGCATCTTCTCAAAGAAAAGAGAGTCCTCACATTCAGCAGCTGAATTCAAGCTCACTGCAATCAATGATGGCGATAAAGTGCTCTTTCTGAAAACATGGAGAAATACGACTGCAGAAACAATTTCACGATGAAACCTCAGGCATGCCACCTTCAGTGGACAGACCACTTTATTGTGTACAAGAAGAGGCAGATAGCCTTTATTCACAGAGCAATTGGAAATGTTCATAAATATCAAATGTGAGGCACTATCTTCATGTAATGTTCTGCCTCTGTGACCAATTTCTGTCTCTCAGACCGCTATCAGGCAGAGCTGGTTCTGTCTGGACTATCTTCAGTGCCATTCACCCCCTGTAAGCCATAATAAAAAGGGTGGCATAAATGAATCAAAGAGAGAGTAGGGGACCAGTCAGTTACCATACTCCCTTATGTTTTTTGAGAACGTCTGAGAAATGCTAACACACAAATCCAATGTTTCCTCACCTTCTGAACAAAAAGCTTTGAGATTTGATTTGAAGTAAGATTGACTTTAATGTGTTTGCTTTTCAAACGCACCAAACCGGACTGCCGCCATGCTATATTTGTAAAATTGATTTCATCAGCTGACAGCCTTCCAAGAAAACAAATAGAATCAAATCTGCTGCAGATCCCAGACTGCTGAGGAATGTTGCATTTGGCAGACTTGACACTCAAAGTGCCCTTAATCTCACTGTCTACGCTATTAAAGGGAAAGTTTCTTTCTCTGATGTGACCCGCAGATTTTATGGAACCATTCATGCTCGGAAGAAAGGATTGCTTGGCCTGATAACAGCACTCACTCAGTTGATTGATGCCCGAGCTCCATTCCTGAGATTGATGGCGATACGCCAGGACCGCTCCTGTGTGTTCACAGTTAACCTCACTCCTCTTCCTCAATTGCTTCCTCCCTCTTTTCATAGGCTTTGCTAACAATAGATTATTATACGTAAATATGTGGTCGCTCTGTTTTGTGTCACTCGAGCATCAATTAGACTAGAAGCTAGCTGAGAAAAGGAGTTGATTTATCACAGTTTAATTTATTGATAATATTTAGTTACTGTAACATGATATGTAATTTCAAAGGTTAAGATGTTAGCTTGCTAACTGAAGGTTAACTGAAAACAATGAAAGCAGATGTGTTTTATTTGATCATTTTTGGCTTTGGTGATGCTATGTTAAATGGTAAAGTTATATGTAATTTAAGTGGCTAAGCTAAGCTTGAAAACTATCTGGTTAAATTTTTATAGCTTCTGTAATATTACTGGAAATGTAATCTAAAAGGATAAGGTAGGCTTAGCTGTAGCTTGTTAACTGAAGGCCAACAAAAAAAATGCACAAAAGAAAAATGTTTAATGCAATTTTATAGCTTCTGAGGACTAATTGAAAACAAAGGAATGCTTGTTAACTTAAAACAAAGAATGGAAAATGTTTAATTTGACGTGATTGATGTAATTGACTGGTGCCAGAGCTCCATTTCTGATATTGCCCATACAGAAATGAACCATGGTTTTACTTCAAATAAAATAAAATAAAAGCATGTTTACTATAGTTAAACCATGGTAACCACAAATTTACCATGATTTTGCTGCACTAACCATCGTTTAACCGTGGTATTTGTAGTAAAACTGTGGTTACACAAATGGTAATCAATATGCAAAAAAAAAAACATGGTTACTACATTTTTACTATAATAAAACCATGGTTTAATTTTCGTAAGGATGATGGCAATAAGTCCTGTGTGTGCACAGGTTACTTCCCTCCTCTTCCTCGATTTCTTTTCCTCTGTCTTTTCATAGATTCTGCTTATAATAGATAATTAAGGATGAATGTGTAATCATTCCCTTTTCTTTGACTTAATCATCAATCAGTCCAGAGGCTAGTTGGCCATTACGGGCCACATGTAATGACCCAAAGCCGTTGATGACTTCTCTCTCCCAGTGCATAGACCTATTAATTGAATCCAGAAGGTTTGTTTATAAGCTATCTTTCTTTCTTTGAAACCGTCTGTCTAATATGCAACTGGTCCATGAAATGCTACTCTTTAATAAGCCTAGTTGAGAGAAGGTGTCCGGCTGCAATACTTGAGTGCCTCCAGCAGGCTGTAAGCGATGAAAATTTGCATTTATATTGTGCTTTTCTGCATAACCACCGCAGCGTTGTCAGCGCGGGGCATTACGGTAACATGCGTGGATGATTCAACGAATTAATGAACAAAATGGAAGGATTTGCATTTATAGAGTGTCAGACTCTGGGCCAAAGCTGCTCTTCTTTGTGCCATGGCAATATGGGATTTCGCTGTTTGCTCCGACAGGTCCAAGGTGCGCACATCCATCTGCAAATACAGCGTGCAGCTTTTATGGACATACAAATGAGGTGAAAGGACAGATACCGTGTTATTTGGATGCATATGAGTGGCTCGTATTAATAGGGTTCAGGTTTATTTGAAGTGTCGGAACATGTCCATTGACGTTCCCCCTCGTGTGACAGGCCGCAAGACCCAGCTGCTGCTATACTCAGGCCAGCTGGAGCGTGGCCACTGGGCACATCAAAAATCAGGGATGCAGGACCAGACAAGCAGGTAAAAAAAAAAAGAAGAAGAAAATGTTGCCATGGTGATGCGAAAGGCTTAAAAGTCTCCTCAGCTCTTCAGATTGCCACTCAAAGCATCGAGTGGATTTACTGGTGAAAATGAAACACTCTTTTCAGTCAACCAGTCTGCGCTAAACAAATCATAAGTACAAGTACAACAGACCTATTTTAGTGTCTGTCTTACTGCAACACATCAGACAAAGTGATTTTTTTTTCAGTTATACAAAAAAACTTCTTATATGGCTGGTTTCATTCAGTAGTGTCTATTTATGTCCAATGTGGCAATGTTCTGTTCAATTTGTGCAAAGTGTTTGAAAATGACAGTAACATACTCCACAACCATGCACACTAGACACACACTAAAAATATCCCAATGTATAACGGTGGGCACAGTGAGTGTTTATTGAAAGAATGCAGGATGAAATGTTTACGGAACCTTTATTTTGACCACAGATTGCCTAATAAATCTTTTTAGTCTTTGGGCAGCATGAGAAAACAAACCATAAATTAGGAACTTGGTCTTGTGGTGTGGGCTCACATTAGTCACAGAGCCTTATGTGTCCAAACTGTTGCTAAGCTTCCATCCATGTATTTTTATGCAAACTTATATCACGTTAAAATATTGCTTTAAAACCACTGGATGGAAATGTCAAGATGTGCATAAAATCATAAAATGTGCATAAAATGTGTTAAACTGAAGCGGATCATTATTTTTATCCAGTACGAATACATGCGTATAAACTACAATGGAAATACATTTACAGAATAAATTTCTTAAAGGGGTCCTATTATGCTTTTTCATTTTTTCATCTTTAGTTAGTCTGTAATGTTGCTGTTTGAGCATAAAAAAGATATGCAAAGTTACAAAGCTCAAAGTCCACTTCAAAAGGAGATCTTTGATTTAACAGAAATCACTTTTCAAAAACTACAACGAACTACTCGTTTGGACTACAACGCATATTTTCCGGGATTTGTGATATCACAAATATCGACGAATGGGACGAGACCTGGTTGAGCTGCACTAGAGAAGGCAATGAGTGTTATCACTATATCGGAGACGCACTAACTTTCCCAAGGCAGACGAACTTAGAGTGGTTACAATCATCCGGGTTTAAATCGCGCTGAAATTGATTTGATTTTGACGCAATATTTACACTGAAGCTCGCAGCAGGCAGCTATGGTAAGGGGCATGACATTTCCCGACCAGGTGCCGAGTGCTGCCAATCACAACACACACTGGCCCAGCTAACCAATCACAACACATTTCGTATTTCAGAAGGCGGGCCTTCATTTGATACAGGAACTATTCAAGTCATTCATGCCAGACTGGGGAGAGACGTGTTGTAATAATGTAAAATATGTGAAAAATAATGTGTTTTTCGAACAACCTAGTATGAGAACCTGTTCTAGTACATCCCCAAAACAAAATCAAGACTTTGTAAAAGAGCATAATAGGATCCCTTTAACGCGTAACAAAAACCTCATATGGCTTTGCAAATCATTTAGTTGATAACTGGACTAACCAGTGGACAAATCTTATTGCACACCATCTTAAATGTTGGTTTAGTCATTCTGAAGTGTCTAAACCAAAGTTTGGTATAATTACATCTCAGAACTGTCTCACACGATTGCGTTCCCAAACATCAGGCATCCGCCTCCGAACGCAAGATAACATGACAGCGTTTGTTATTGCATTTCAACTGCACACTCTGAGGTGCAAGTAATTTCTTATGTAGGAAAAAAGAGCTCCAGTGTCTTCCCCAGTTGTATCAACTTCCATTATGATTCTATTTTAATTCGATTTTGTTCTCTTGAACACATGGCATGGAAACGGTGCGATGTTCCAATTTTTCACATGTTAAATTCACAAGTTTGGATGGAAACACAGCTAAGTCACAGTGTGACTTGCCAACTCAAACAATCATTTGTCACACAAATATAGAAGTGCTCCGAGAGTGTGTTGAGATGTGTGAGTGCCGACAGTAATGGCAATGATATCTTTACAGGAGAATCCATATGTAATGCTGAGAGCCAATCACCAGGAACTAGAAGGGAATGAGCGTTACGAAGGCTTCTGTGTGGACATGCTGAAGGAGTTGGCAGATATCCTGAAGTTCAAGTACCGCATTCGGCTAGTTGGGGACGGTGTGTATGGAGTGTCGGGCACCAATGGCACCTGGACAGGCATGGTGGGAGAGCTCATCAGCAGGGTGAGTGACGTCACAAGGGAATATGTTTTAGTTAAATTGGGACAGAATGGCATTCCAGTGTCATGTATTATCCCTCTTTCTTTGCCGCCTGGTCATTACTGGTATTGTGAATTCTTGCTATACGTTAGCTAGTAGACAAAGCTGTTAGCTTGCCAACTGAAGATACAAAGAAAGGAAAATGTTCAATGTGACCATTTTTAGCTTCTGGAATATAATGCGATGTGTAATTTAAAAGGCAAGTTAGGAGAAATTCTTTCATTTGATGTGGTATGTAATTTAAATTGTGTGCGTGTAATAATATGTGATGGGTAACTTGAAAAGCTAAAATAGGCTAAAATGTTAGCTTGCTAATCAACGGCTAATTGAAAAAGCTATAATAGTTTAAGCTGACCATTTTTAGCTTTAGTAAAGTGAAATGTAATTTAAAATACGCCCTCCACCGTTCAAAAGTTTGTGGTCTGTAATATATTTTAATGATTTTGAGTGATTTTGAATGATTTTAATGAACCTAGACTGCTTTTATTTGGTCAAAAACACAGCAAAACAGTAATATTGTAAAATATTAATACAATTTAATATGAATAAATAAAATGAAAATTATGTGATGGCAAAGCTGAATTTCCTTCAGAGATCATTCTAATGTGCTTATTTGGTGCTCAAGAACCATTTCTTATTATTATCAATGTTGAAAACAGTTGTGCTGCTTAATATTTTTGTGGAAACTATGATACTTTTTTCAGCATTATTTTGTAAATAGAAAGTTGTCATTTCTAATCAGGCCCTATATACACTATTCATAAAAAGTTGTTCAGTCAGCAGAATGGCTTTGTTGAGGAAGGGAGATAAAACATTATTGTTTTACAAACAGTTTGTTTGTCTAGTAGCTTGTCATATCTTACTTTGGGAAACAGAATAACTGCCAGATTTTATGCTTCCTCAAAATCTCAGTTTAACCCCTGCTTATACTGGCTTCTAGAACAGCCATTCCCGTGTAGTATGAATTTCATTCAAAGCACACCACTTCTGCTGTTCAGGATACGTAGCATGAAATGATCTGCTTCCTCTTGTTTTAGCCTAGAATTATTCATTCTCAAATGCTCATTTCAATAATTCATTAAAGGAAGGAAGCCTTAAAGCTAGTCTAAAAGTTGTTTTACTTGCTTCCACACAGGTAATGCAGATTAATCAACAATATTCATGTTTATGCCTCCAACCCAGTTACAGGTTTCTTGTCCTAATGAATTTCAATTAGCCCATCTGATCCCATAACAGACACACACAGATGTGTTTAAAAAGAACCACGGTGAAGCGTGAAGTGTATTAGTCCCATTCTGACAGCCACTAACATCCTGTTAATGAGATGGAAATCTTGCATGCCTCAAATTCTGTTTAGTTCCCAACATGTTATTTATTTAAAATCAGTTGCAGCAATATGGCGTGCTGCTGATTTATTCGTCCATTTTTTGGCAGACACCGCAGGGAGCTAAGTAAATTTTCGAAAATTAGCAAAAAGGCCACGGCAGGCGATATTCATATATTTCCAAAGGAAAGTATCATAAACCAGAACATTTCTCCACAGCCTATGTTCTCGCAAACAACAACAGAGAGGCTTTGAGAAGTTATCTGTCTTAATTCCACAAGCTAATGGAGGGCAAAGCCATTAGTGAAATAAAGAAAGAAGTGCCTAATCTTATTATTGTCTCAATTTGTTCCCTCAAAGTATGCTCTATACAGCTGACCTTGAGAGTAGCCAATGACTCTAATTGCATCCCACGCGCTATAGTGTCTGTAGACAGTAGAGGGTAATGAGGGGCAACTGAAGGAGGCGTCCTGACAGCCTCTCTATGCGTCTTGGATCCCATGAGGGACCTTTATCCTGTTATTTATTGCATAAAAACATGGGTGTAGATTTGCATATGAACAAAGACTACAGATATTTTCACAGTTGTGTTTGAATGTAACAAACATTGAAAGAAGTACAAGCTAACATTTTGCCACGTCTGCTAATGGATGGTGACTTGAGAAAATTTACCAGCTATATTTTTTTTACTGGCCATAAACTGTATGTGCATAATTTCATTAAAAAACAGGCAAAAAAACAAGAATTATTATTATCATTATTGTCATTATTTTATATAACAATAGTACAATTACTATACAATATTTATGTTTTTATTTTGGCTGAAAACCACAGGAATGCTTGAAATGCTTCTTTTTTTTTGTTGACAACAGATTTATAAACCATTCACTGTGTTTCACTATGATGCAGTGCAACAGATTATTTATTTATTTGTTCAGTTTTTGTGTTTTTCTCATTTGTAATATAACATTTTATTTCCCTTATTATTAAAGTATATTAACAGTTGGTACTGTATACGAGTGACTTTTTAACATTAAAAATAATTAATGATCAATTAATTTGTTTTTGTTTTGTTTTGTTTTTTGTTTTGTTTTTGGCTAGCATATCTGTTTACATGCTGAATGCAATCTATAGCTCAAGAAAAATTAATCTTAAGATATTAATGGTCAAATCAAAGTTTAAAATGATGTTTAATTGATGTATTTTGATGGTTATGTGTTGATAAATGAGGTAGCAAATACAATACCAATATCTTTCTTCTATTAATATTAGAATTTATCATGTTTAATAATAATATAATACATTTTGCTGGTGGATGGGAATTTGCACAAAAGCAGCTGAAATATGGACTCCTGATCCCAAACGGGGTCTTGGTCATGCTTTCTAATGTTCTATAAACTCTTGTAAAACTAAAGGCAGTGCAATAGTACACAAAGGTAGCGAAGCAGCCGAGCTGTCAGGGTTTTCTCTAGCGGCAGATGAAGAATAAGCCTCAGAGGGAATTTGAAATGCCACACTGGGAACTTACATCAATGTATTATTCAGTAGAGATAGAGTTAACTTCTCTCATTTTTGGGGGCATCACTTTTTGATTGAGTCAAAGCTGAAGGGGATGGAGCGCAGGAAGAATATCATACTGCATTATTTATTATTTAGAGTCTCTGTCTCATAATTTTCCTCTCTGTGCAGACCAGTCATCAATATTAATACATAACGAGATGTCAAATATTTGAGCTGCAGTTATTGTCCTTGTTTCTGTTATGGAGGACATCTGTTTGAGGGATTTCTGTTCAGCAGGGACCACGTAATTTCCTTGTTTGTGTGTCAGCGTGATGTTTTGTTGTGTGAAGTGAAGTGTGCATGAGTTGAAGAAGAGCTGTGGGCCACAGTTGAACTATGGAGAGCACTTGAAGATTAGTGCATCTGCAAGCTGTTATTGTGGAAGGAATCTTCAGGGAACGTGCGAGAGTTCATCTTCCTGCGCCACAGTCTCTTTTGATAAGGTGAAGTACTGTACATGGCAAGATAACGACATAACTGGCTTTATAATCAGGTGAAGCAGACTGTTGCAGGGTTATTAGCTAACTAAAACTAAAACTATTAAAAAACATCGTTACTTGAATTAAAATAAACTTTACTAAAATATTTCAAGATTTTTTAAATAAAATATAATAAAGTATATTATTTTGGCTTACAATAACTAAAACCAAGATAAAAATTAATAAAAACTATATAGACCGGGGAAAAAAACAGAATAACAAAAATGCACACCAAAATTTCTAAAAAATTTAATTAAAACTAGGAACGTTTTGTCAAGACAAACTTTATGTTGGCTTGACAAAGCAGTTTAAAAATAAAAAAACAAAATATGAAAATAAACTTATAACTTATCAAAATATACTATAATGGTATCTTAATGATACTTCTCTTATCTTGAAATGTGCCTAAACTTCCTAATTCGGCTCTCAGAGTTAACAAGCCTCTCCTGTCACTTTCAAGGGTTCAGGTTAGAGGATAAAACATCACATTGTAACTGGTGTCTGCTGTCCGGAGATTCTCTCTCATTTACAGCACAGCTCCAATATCCCATCATTCCTCCTGGAGAGGACAAAGAGCAGTGGAGGGAAAGAGTGTGTCCCGCAGGACCGTAAAATCCATTGCAGATGCGCTTTTCGGTGTTGTTTGATTAGTGGGATCCAGCCGCAGCATCATGCCCGGCAGCACTGGATGCTGTGTCAAGTGATTTGTAATGACAGTTTCTGTGTTCATGTTCCATCACACACACACACACACAACAACTCAGCTTTGCCCTTCAGTATTCACCAAAATACAGGTATTTGGACTGGAAGCAGTTGTTTCCAGGTGTAAAATGACAGCATGGCAGCTTAAGGTGGTTAAGCTGGATTGTTGCTGGTTTCAGATGGTCTACATGCTGCTAAAATCCATTGCAGATGCGCTTTTCGGTGTTGTTTGATTAGTGGGATCCAGCCGCAGCATCATGCCCGGCAGCACTGGATGCTGTGTCAAGTGATTTGTCATGACAGTTTCTGTGTTCATGTTCCATCACACACACACATACAACAACTCAGCTTTGCCCTTCGGTATTCACCAAAATACAGGTATTTGGACTGGAAGCAGTTGTTTCCAGGTGTAAAATGACAGCATGGCAGCTTAAGGTGGTTAAGCTGGATTGTTGCTGGTTTCAGATGGTCTACATGCTCAAATCAGCTTAACTAAGATGGACTACAGGGGTGTCATGATTTTGAGGGGGGTCCAGTGGAAATTTGTGCTTTTGGAGAGAAAAGAAACAAACACTTTTTACCTATTTCATTGGTGACAAGGCTAGGTAGATGATGACAATTTAATTTATCTGTGTTGTAATATTTATATTATAATTATAAAACTTTTTTTATTTTAGTTTTTATTTGACTTCATTTTATTATGTGTTTTCATCATTATTATTTTTGTTTTTTCTTACTTTTAGATTTTTTTTATTTTAGATAAAAAATTTATTTTTATTTGAACTTTTAAGGTTTTCATCTAATATTTAAATTTAATTGTAATCCTTTATTTAAATACATTTTGAATTTTACAATTCCTTTTGACAATCAGCATTGTTTTGTGTAATTTATATAATATTATAATATTTATTAATATTTTGAATTAGCAATTGTTTTAATATTTTCTATTTTTCTTTTAGTTTTAGTCATTTTGTCTTTTTTAGCCTTATTTTTTGTAATTTTAATACTTCAACATTTAACTTTTTAAGTTTAGGTTTTTCATCTAATACTTATACTTTATTTTATTTAAGCTTTATTTTAATTCACAAAAACTATTTGTTTTACTTTTAGTTAACAATAACAACACTGTTGATAATTAAGTATAAATTCACTTAGCCTAAATATCTGAGGAGCCAGTTGCCCCCTTTCTTGAACCAGCAAGAAACCATGTATATACCACCTTAGTCTGGCTCCATTTTTTTGCACCTTTTTATCCAGACCCGCACTAATGGCTGCTGTTATTGTGCATGTGTTTCAGAAGGCTGACCTGGCTGTGGCCGCCCTGACCATCACGGCTGAGAGGGAGAAGGTCATTGATTTCTCCAAACCCTTCATGACTCTGGGGATCAGCATCATGTACCGAGTGCACATAGTAAGTTCCTCCTCCATCCGCTGCAGCTCGTGACTCCCGAACCATTCCCGACCTCGCAGCATTAAAGATCAACAACTCTCAACAATCGGCAGCCTCTAATGGCCGGAGAGAGAGTGCGTGGGAAATAAATAGAGAAATACTTTGGGGCAGAGAGATCTGAGCATCACCTTGCTCTAGCAGATGGTGTGCTGTGGTGTGAAAAGCTGATAAATGTTGTGCTTTCCTTCCCAATTTCAAATTATCCTTATTGTGACTTGTATCTAATTCACACCAATAACATCCCAAGCTCTTGCACACAGCAACACTGAAAATCCAATAGCTCTTTTATTTTTAAAGGCCTGTGATTTAAAGGCCGCCATTAATCAAAGCCCCTCCCCAAACCCAAGGTGACATGCTGATCTCTCTGTTGGTTAAATGCCAGATGAAGCCACTCGGTGCAGCGTGTGCAAACATTAATGTGGTGTCCCGGTAGGGCATTTACACAAACACACACACTCACTTACACAAACACCAGTGAAGATGTTAAGTGTGAGGTAAGATGTAAGTAGCTAAATATTTAATATCTGACAACTGTTAAACAACCAATATCCTGTGATGCAAATTATTGGACTTTTTTGAAAAATTTTGCTGTTTTGAATTGAACATGTTGGATTATATTGGACGTAATTCATAACTGAATGGGACACTGTTTTTTGTTGTTTTGTGTTTTAAAAAATAATGCACACATTTACACTTATTCATATTTTAAATTACAAACTTTAGTTCAAAATTGTTCAAATTGATTATAAAAAGTCTTGTTCTTTTACTGTTCTTCCTTCTTTTTCTTTATTCCCTTAAATCTAAAAATGTAAGAAAATAGAAAAAGAAAAAGCCCCCCCCCCCAACCCCCAGTGTTCAAAACATAGTTATGACCTTGTTACACCTTTATCATATTTTTTTTTTTTTTACTATTTTCAGTAGCAGTCCAGTCGATATTGGATATTTATTTGTGCATGCTTTCCATTATTTTTACCTTCAGATTACATTTTCCATAATCTAAAACTCACTTAATGTTATTATTTGAAAATATTAATAATATTAATAATAATTTACAGGTTTTCTCGATTGCTTAAACACTATCACCAGGCTTTTGAACTAAAATTTCAAAACCATAACGCCATTTATCAAAACGCACACCCATTTCCCTAAACTATAAACATTTTTTTTTTTTTTACTATTTTCAGTAGCAGTCCAGTCGATATTGGATATTTATTTGTGCATGCTTTCCATTATTTTTACCTTCAGATTACATTTTACAATATTAATAATATTAATAATAATTTACAGGCTTTCTCGATTGCTTAAACACTATCACCAGGCTTTTGAACTAAAATTTCAAAACCATAACGCCATTTATCTGTGCCTCTAGTTGACCATGTCCTTGTCCATGGTATGACTATGAGGGAGGCTGGGCAATGAGTTCAGCCAAACTTAAGTTGCTTCACCGTCGTCTCGATCATAAGAACCTTCAGGGAGGAAAACAGGTAGGTGTACCTCAGTGTACTCTACTGTAACTTTTGAGTGCTGTACTCTGTTACAACACATGCATCAAATTGCCTTACATACAGATAGAGTTTCTGTCTGCTTCCATTTTGTAAAAAGGATGTTACAGTTACAGTAATCAGTACTTCTATTTTTGTAGGACACAGAGAAAATGGAATGGAAGAAGCCTGACTAGACATTTCAGCTGATGCCAGGGGTGGATCAGGCATGCAAGAGGATTCCCCCCTCCCCTGCCTAGCTAGGGCCAGTATAGCCTGTGATGTTGACGAGATTCTCTGGCCTGAACCAGAACAAAGATGTGATGCTGGGGCAGAATATTTGTTGTTGTTGTTTGGTGTATTGTACTGTACAGTACATTAAGGAATAAAAAATGTGCAAATGTATACACATGTGTTCATTATGTACTGTTTTGAGAATACAAGGCATAGTTTCAAGAAATGTGTTTAAGCAATCGAGAAAAACTGTAATAACACTGTAATAACACAAAATGGTTAAATATAACCATTAGCAAATCTCAGAATTAATATAATATTCTCAGAGCTTTTTTTCATGCTAATGTCACTTAGCATGCAGGGTCTTCATAATAATAACTTTTTTAGCACTTGATTAAATTTTCAGATGTAACAAGGTCGTTTTTAGACAAGATGAACTGCAGTTCAAACTTGTGTATCAAGCTTCAGGAGACGAATCAAATAATTCAGATTTTTTTTTCCATGAACCATTTCAATACTACTGGCTGTAGGCAATAGATGCTAAATAGGAAAGTTGTTCCAGAACCAACAAAGGATGTTGATCTCCTGTTGGGGTAAATTACATTGTGTCTCACAGTAATCTCAGATCTTGGTGAAGTGTGAATTATTTTCAGTGTTAAAATGCTTTCTTTTCCAGCAATAAATAATTCATTCATAGTTAGATTTTCCCTGAAATTGGTAAACACTGTGGGGCTTTCAAAACACTGCTGAAATTACACACTTCACCTTTAGACGCTAGGCTACAACAACCTTAGAGAGAGAGAAGTGGCTTAGAAAGTAAGAAAAATAAAAGAAAGTTGATTGAGAAAGGCACAGAGGCAGGCAGAGCGAGTGACTCAGAGACTGTCAGGCAGAGAGAGCAGTGACAGAGGACATAAGAGGAGTGTTCAACGAGTTCACACAGGTAAAGAGGATAAAAGGCTGTTGTACTGTGTAGAGCTGTTCTCAGGTTTGAAGACCTTGAGCTCTCTCTCTCTGTCTGTCTGTCTCTCCATGGCCCTTTCTGCTCTTCTCTGATCCAGAATAAATATAATTGTTTCTATTTTACAAATCAAATATATGTATTATTTATTTTCTACAATTAGAATGTGTGTGTGTTTCTAATATTAATTGAAAATTAATAAGAAGTGACATTTTATATACATTTGCATTGCATGCATTATTTTTTTATTTGTTTATTTATGTTAAAAGATATAATTAACAAATTAATTAGCAAATATATATGCTTTCATTCATGTGTGTCACTCTGTATGTATATAAAAACATATTTTTTGTTAAATTCAGGTGCTAAACAATAGCAAATCATCATAAATTAGATATATATGATATAAGCTGGCTAAGTTTGGTTGAGTTGGCTAAAGATGGGGGTCGGCCTTCAGTTCCGTTGCTCCTGCTCAGAATAATCTCTTCTCACTCATCTATACCCCACAGCCATGATGATCTGGATATTTGGATTCTTGTGCGTGCACTTGTTTAGGTTTAATCCACTTACTATTGATCCAGCAAGCTTTGATTTCGACAAGGACCCCCATAGCTTATTTCAAACTTTAAATGAAATCCTTCGCTTGATCAATAACAATGGCAAATGGAATAAAATGTGGCCTTCGGCCCTGTTTTAATTACGTTTGCGAGTACAGTGGTATCTCCATTGCAGCGTGTAATTGGACGCACTGGTAGACCTGAACGTATAGAACGTGCCATTTGGTTTGTGTATGTATATATAAGTGCAGTCTGGAGAGTTCGAATAAACACAAGAAAGCATAAAAATAAGTCTCTCTATGTCTTGTGCGGCACACAACTATAGGTGTGGTTGAGGATGAAATAACTAATTAGTGCCACAAGTTAATTAGATCGTACAGGTAGCATTGGCAAGATCATGTACAGCCCCAAAGGATTAGTGAGAGTTTGTGTGCATTAAGAGAGATTGTGGAGTGTACGGAGAAAGAAAAAGAGCAGCTGCTCCTCAGAACATGAAGTCAGGGGTTTTTTCCCCTGAAGCATTCCAGCTGTGACAAGACCATGTTCCCACTGGCCACACACTTTCAAGTTGTGAGGGGTTGTAAAAGGGAACTCTGTGCCTCTACGGCACTGAGCCCTCTTGACTCATGACTGAGTGTTTGTCTCACAGCAGTGCGCTCTGTTTCATGCCGTACTTCAGATTTGAAATAATGCACCTCACCTCTGTGTGTTTACAATCTGTCATGGTGGCGTAGTTCCACTTAAAATGAGTCTACAGAAGGACAATTTTTTAATCTGGATATTTATAGTGACAGAAGAAGAAATATTGTAAATGTTACCATGTAGAGCGTCTTTCAGTGGAATTCAATGGAGCATTAAGTTTTCAAATCTTTTCAGCCCTAGTCGATCTGACAGTGGCTGGTAAACATGCCCTGACAGTATATCACTGTTTCATAGGGAGGTCTGTAGCAGAGGCTTCACTACAGATCAGTCTGAACTGCAAATCACAGAGGAGACTAGAAAAGGGTTTATGGCTAGTGAATCAACAAACACATTTGAGTGTGTGGGAGAGAAGAGAAAGACCCCATGCATAACCCTTTATGTATTTTTATTAAATGCATTTTATGGAAACTCGTTTCAGTCTTAGAGTAAAAAATATATTTTTTATCTCACAATTTGCCATTTTATTTCTTGTAATTGTAACCTCATATTTTATAATGTGACTTTATATCAGTTGCAAATTATATCTCACAGTTGCAACTTACCATCTGACAGTGTGACTTTATTTTTCAAAATTTGACTTTATATTTCACAGTTGTGATGTTATATCTCACAATTTGGCTTTATATGTCTCACATTTGTTTAAAACTTGATCTCAGTGACCTGTTTTATTTTTATTTTGAGGCAGAAATAAGCTTCCATACTATTTTTGTGTCGTTGTTTTGTAGATTTATTTTGCTTAGTATGTGGTATTGGCTTTAATGACACCATGTACTTGAGCTGACATGGACTGATGATCATGAAAATGACTGATTTGAAAATGATTGAGCATTTTGTGCTTCAGTGGAAGCAGTAACATCTTGGCATAACATGGTTAAAGTCTAGAAATTGATTAATATACACTATAGTGTTATTGTTTAAAACTTGATCTCAGTGACCTGTTTTATTTTTATTTTGAGGCAGAAATAAGCTTCCATACTATTTTTTGTGTCGTTGTTTTTTAGATTTATTTTGCTTAGTATGTGGTATTGGCTTTAATGACACCATGTACTTGAGCTGACATGGACTGATGATCATGAAAATGACTGATTTGAAAATGATTGAGCATTTTGTGCTTCAGTGGAAGCAGTAACATCTTGGCATAACATGGTTAAAGTCTAGAAATTGATTAATATACACTATAGTGTTCAAAAGTTTGGGATCTGTAAGATTTTTTTATGTTTTGCAAAGAAGTTCTCTTATGCTTACCAATATATATAAATGTATTATATAAAATGACAGTAAAAGCTGTAATATTGTTAAATGTGTAGGCAATTTAAATTTTCTATTTGAATATATTTTAAAATGTAATTTATTCTTTTCATTTTATTACTGTGATGGCAAAGCTGAATTTCCAGCAGTCATTACTCCAGTCTTCAGTGTCACATGATCGTTAAGGAATCATTCTAATATGCTGATTTGGTGCTAAATTTTTTTATTATTATTATAAATGTTAAAAACACTTATGCATTTATTTATAATATAAATGTGTGTTACAATCTTTACTGTCAAGTTTGATTAATACAATGCATCTTTGCTGAATAAAAGTAATAAAAGTAATTACTGACCTCAAACTTAATTTTATCTTGAAGTTCAGAATCTTAAATAGTGTTTTCTTAAATAGTGTTTTGTTTTACATTGTTTCCCGTATGAGATGTTAAACGAAAAGTAAAATCAATTTGCAGTCATTGAATGGTGAAATGTAATTATCATTAAAGCTTAACAAGAATGAAACATCACCGATGAGTGAAACGTGCCACTAATGAGAAAGCCAGCAGTGGTTTTATTCATTAATCAGGAAGTGAATGCCCTACATTTTGGAAAAGAGAAAAAAATCAGCAAATTCAAACTCGAGATCAATAATTTTAACGCCAAAAGGCATGATTAATTGTTTTGATAAACTGACAGCTTAGCAACAACTCTTCCCATAAATAACTCTCTGAATATAAGTGCGCTGAACAATGTTACAAGAAACACTGAAGCCGTAATAAGTACAATACGTTTTTTTTTTTAGGATAAACATGGTAAGACCACGCATGTACTGACAGCTCTGCAGTTTCCTCTGTAATTGAATATGTTGTGTAGTGCAAATGTTAATGAGGACCTGGTTAACTAGACACAGGGAACCCTGGTGTGAGAGTCTGGTATGACTGCAGGCTTCCGCAGCTGCTTCTGCTAGCACATTTTATTTTGACAGCCGAAGCAGCAGCACTTCTCAAAGACTAAATTTTAAGTATATCACTGGGAGAAACTACTTCTTACCTCAAATCCACTAAGCCAGAAACGAGAAATTACATAACACCACAGAGACACATTAGAGCCTATGGGGACCTGCTAGAGTTGAGCAAGAAATGCCCTACTGCACTGCTGTTCAGTCAAACTGTGGGAGGATCTATCTGTGCTCATTTGTTAAATGATCAAGGGAAGATTCGCTCTTGAGGGTGTTACATGTTCAAAAGGCTGTTAAACCGAGTGTATAACCTGTGTCGTGCACTAGTAGTGCATTTTCTCACTTGTTTTCCAGCAGGTTGGGCAGTTGCACAGTGTTGACTGTTCTTTTGTTTAAACCTTAAAATTTAATTTAGAAAGAGGCTGTAAACAAGGCACGTTGTTTCAGTTGGAAGCAGCTTTCAGAAACCCAACACCACAGTTAACGTACCCCCCTGTGAACTCCATCCGCAAGTCCCTCTCGCTGTAAGTCACAAAACAGTTATCTCCTCAAATCTCACAATACATACAGTCTGGCCCAATTTTCTCATCCCTTGACGGTAGCTTCCCTAAGAAAGTGTAAAGCAACCTGCCTTAGAATAAAGCCACACCTGAACCAGCTTTTTTTTTCCATTGAGAGCCCATCAGTTTCTTGTGTATCTACCGTAGACAGGCTTGCTTCTATTTATTGCTACAATTACAGCTTTTAGTGTCCAGCTCAACAGCAATGCCATTCAATTACACTAATATGAAGATGATTGCAGACACATTAATGAATTTCCAGCCTGGTGCGGGATAGGTAGTGGAATAATTACTCATTTCTGCACTACAGTAAACCTGTTTTTTGTAGTCTCGGGGATAAAAAAACAGCCCAAATGATTTGTTTGCACGTGTATCCATCGCTGGGACTATTTAGATCTGCCATCTGTAAGACACCTGTGGCATGTAGATAGATTAGCCATGGTGCTTTTACACTTAGTTTCTCGCTGATAAGAGACTGTTAAGTTGCTGCTGACCACTGATTGTCAAAGTACCTCCAGGAGAGATAATTGGATTTGACTATTGTGTACAGAATCGGCTCCTGAGTTCTGTTCCAGCGGTTATTGGATTTTCAGAGTGTGCCAAAATGCTTAGGAGACAGAAAATCAAGCACTTTGTTTGGATCAAGCCAATCAACCGTAAAAGCCTTTAAAATGTCTTTAACCTGAATATTTACTTGCTGGAATTGAATGATATAGGTTTCATTGTCTTGATGTTGCCTGTGTGTTTTTATAGGGAAGAAGACCGGGGTATTTCTCCTTTATGGATCCATTCTCTCCTGGGGTTTGGCTTTTCATGTTGCTGGCATACCTGGCAGTCAGCTGCGTGCTCTTTTTGGTGGCGAGGTAAATATTCAGCTCCATACTGACACCTGCTGGATCTTATCATTAAAGGGGTAGTGCAGCTAAAAATGGAAGAAAGTCTCTCATAATTTACTTATCTTCTTGTCACTCCAAACCTGTGTGACGTTTTGAAGCAACATTTTAAAGGACATTGACTCCATTGTCTTCCATACAATGAAAGTGGAAAGCTCCAAAATGGATAAAAAGGTCCATAAAAGCAAAATAAGAGTTGTATATCTTGAATCTTGCATTATATTCTAGGTCTTCTGAAGTCATGCAGTAGCTTTGTTTCTAAAAACAGACATTTTTTATTTTTTTAATTTGTAATTCACAAAAAAATCTTACTTTGCTGCTCTGGTCACCATTCGCTTTCTTTGTATGGAAACGAGTAGCTTGGACATTCAGCTAAACTCCTCCTTTAGTGTTTAATGAAAGAAAGAAAGTCATAGATTTCAAACGGTGTGTAAATTAAAACAAAATTTGATTGCTTGATTGATTGATTGATTGATTGAACTGTTGCTTTAACACTAAACTAGACATTGTACAGTATCTCTAAACAAAACCTACTAAAGCCGGCGGGCAAAGATTAGTTGATAGGAATTCTGGAACATTCCTACTGTATGAACTAATCTTTGTGCTCTGATTTTAAAGGGAAGGTTTAGTGGTGAGGACTGTTAGTTCATAGGAGTGTTGCTGTTGCAGGATCAACATCCTTTGTTGGTCCTGAGAAACAGTCTGGACCTTAAACCTAACACTGAATCCCTGTATGAATGTTCTAGGACCAGCATGGCTGTATCTGTAGACATTTCATTTTAAACTCAATTTTTATTCCAGCTTTGCATTGGATCAAAAAAGAAATGTCATGTTTTATACTCTTTCACAGTGGCCTGCTGATTTTCCAGCATTCTGCAGGACAATGTGTTGTGTGTTTTTATTCACTGAACATTACCTGCCAAGACATTTCATATAAATTCATAGTTGGAGCTTTTGTGTATGCATGTGTTTTTCTTTGTTTGCCTCTCTGTAATGTGTATATTTTTACACATTTGTTATTGAAACATTTGTTACCAGTGTTTTCTTTTCTGCATTGCTTGTGTTCAGCATTTCAACAGTAATGTGGGGTTGTCGCACACTTTGAAGAGTAACTCAGCAGCGTCCTGCAGTGCAGTGCATTTTTATTAGTGTCCTGTCAGTCACGGCTAAAGCTTGCACAGCCCCTTCAGGGAACAAAAACCAGGTTACGTGGCCAACATGGAGCACTGGTGACTTCATGCTTTGCCAACTGTTAAAATTGTTCCTGGCTCATTTATGTTTACTACTTTTTATCCTTTCTTTTTTTCTCGCTCCTCTTGGCACACAGGCTAACACCTTATGAATGGTACAACCCTCACCCCTGCCTGAAAGAGCGTTGTAGCCTGCTCATTAACCAGTATTCTCTGGGCAACAGTTTCTGGTTTCCTGTGGGCGGTTTCATGCAGCAAGGCTCCACCATCGCCCCGAGAGCCCTGTCTACACGCTGCGTCAGTGGAGTATGGTAAGAGTGCACGTTAAATATTGTCTCCATTGTAAAAGGACCTGCATTGATGGTCACCAGCATATGTGTTTGGATGATGGTCTCCAGGATGCGATTTATAAGGAATGTACAGATTGTCAGGGAATTTATTGATATTTTCTTATAAATTTTGTATGTAAGCCTCAGAAATTTACATATTTGTTGGTCATAGGTCTTGTCTTCATAAAAAAGGTCATGTATAGAATCATGGTATGTGGTATGCAAGTTTTATGTCAATAATAATATTTAATCCCTGACATTCTTTGGATTACTAGAACATTTTCGTTTGTGATTGTCAATTTCATATTTTGTGTTGCAAAAAGACTATATTATATTTGTAAAAATGGTCAATATATTAATACAGGATTTTGACCATAATGAATATGTCTAAACTTTCTGAATGGTTCTTGTCTCATTTAAAAGGCATCCATGTAAAATCTGCCCAAAAGCCTTTGAAAACGTTTGTTGTGAAATAAGATCATACCAAAAAAGTCAGCAAAAATTGCCAGGAAATTAAGTTATACATAAATTATTATTAGTTATACATATGCATTTGGCAAATTATTTATCCAAAGTGGCATTACATTACAATCAAGGTATAAACCAAGCTTTTTTGTTTTATCTACAAGAATGCTTATTGAATATTTGAAGTGAACAAATTATTGAAATATTTATTTGTATATAATAAAATTCTTTGAAAAAATATTTACTCCAATACCGATCACTTTCCCTTCTTTATGCATTCGATTTGGATATAGGTCTTTAATTTTAGGGTCAACTAGCTTAACCAACAAGACCTCTCTGAAAACCTGTTGGATTTTGCCTGCCTAAGCTGGTTTACCAGCTCGACCAGCACCCAAACCAGCATTACCCAGGCAGTCGAAGATGTCCTTTTCAGCAGAGTATCACATTCTGCTACACCCTGAACTCATTGTCAGTTGCTGGATACAGCAGATAAAAGTGCTACTCTCATTTGGCCTCTGTTTTTCTGCTGCGTTATTGTACTGTCATTTTTCGAGGCCTCGCAGACTGCAGCACACCGAGGTCAGTGGAGAATAAAAGCAAGCTATTTTTGAGTATTCTGAAAGGGCGTACAGTATTCAGAGGAGCCTTTTAACTTCTCATTCGGATGCAGAGCTCACAGCAGTGCCGAGCTCTTTTGATGTTAGGTCAGAGGTTTGTGTTCCTCGCGTCTAAAACTGGTTTGTCATTCCAGGTGGGCCTTCACCTTAATCATCATCTCTTCATACACAGCCAACTTGGCGGCCTTTCTCACTGTGCAGAGGATGGAGGTGCCCATTGAGTCCGTGGATGATTTGGCTGACCAAACAGCCATCGAATACGGCACCATGCATGGCGGGTCCACCATGACCTTCTTCCAGGTGAGATCTCCAAGGACAAAATGGAAGGGAACTCCACCCACAAATCAATGGTCTGTCGGCAGGTTTATTGACCATGTCACTAGCACTCTTCCCTACTTTGGGATTTATCTGTTTGCTGTCTTAATATCAATGCCCTTCGATATCTTGCCCTCTCCAGAGGGCCGCCCAGACTAATTCAAACTCTTTGATGTGTCGAAGGGACGTTTCTTGACCCGCCCCTCAGCGAGCACAGACTGTTTCACATATTCAGTTGTCACATCAACATGTCAAACTGTCAGCTTATCAACCACCAAGTCCTTGGTTAACACAATCAGCCTCGCCTCCTCACAGCTCTAGTGATTGGCTGTCAGGACACCAGGCGAAAGTTGAGGAGCAAACGTAATGATCCTAATATCTCCTGTTTTCCGGTTAGAACTCTCGCTACCAGACGTACCAGCGCATGTGGAACTTCATGTACTCCAAGCAGCCCAACGTGTTCGTGAAGAGTACAGAGGAGGGCATCGCCCGAGTGCTCAACTCTAATTACGCCTACTTGCTGGAGAGCACCATGAACGAGTACTACCGCCAGCGCAACTGCAACCTCACCCAGATCGGAGGCCTGCTGGACACCAAGGGCTATGGCATTGGCATGCCTCTCGGTGAGAAAGAGTTCCTGTTCGAGAGAGAACAATGAATAGAGGTTTATGTGGAGTTAGCAGGACTTTTATTGATTAAAATGCAACCAGAGTGCAAAAAGATCCGCATAGAACTGTAGCAGGGAATCTCGCACACTATGGAAAACATTTTTTTTTTTATGGTGGTTTCTAGTCGGATTGTATGATATGATCTCAGTGAGATCGTGAGTTGAAGCCAAGGCAGACTGTGCAACGTCAACTGCCATTTATGCTACTGAATGATAAACAACTTTGGTCAGGATTGACAGTGTTGACTGGTAGATCAATCGTGTCACAATCTGACATACTCATTAACATGCTTAATGGTACACACATTCAAGCAAACCCTTGCACAAATATATGTTTTACCTGAAAGAAAAGAAAATGTCTAAAGTGTGTGTAGGCAAAAAAAGGGAATTTAACTTCTTTTTTCAAAGTAAACCTAATGTAGTATAATCATAATATAAAGGAAATGCTAAATGACTTTTATAATATTTAAAGAGATAGTTCGCCCAAAAATTTAAATTCTCCCATGATTTACTCACCCTCAAGCCATCCTAGGTAGGGATGTAATGATTTGATTCGATTCACGATTTTGATTTCACGATTCAATTCGATTCACGATTATTATTTTTTTACAAAATTAGATTTAAGACAAATTATAAATTAAATGTGTCCTTTTATTATTGCTTGGACAAAATGCACGTTTCTTTGTGAAATTGAAATATAACACTATAATAATATACTAATATAGCACTTATAGCATATAATTACTCTTTTGTTGGTTTTGATTGCTTTTATTGTCCTCCTTTGTAAGTCGTTTTGGATAAAAGTGTCTGCTAAATGACTAAATTGAAATATAATGTAAATGTAAATACTAACTAAAATTGAACTAAATTGAAATTTTAAAACAAGCCCCAAATCAAATAAATAAGTAACACAAATAAAATATCTTCATACAAACAAAATAAGTCTTTGTCTGTGATCTTTCCTTTTAAAATTAGAGGCAACCACTGCATTTTAATCTTAATCCAAACAAAGATGCTGCATACATGCAACATGAGCAGTTTTTAAATCTAAATTTGATTGTATAATTTCGAAATTTGAAGCAAAAACAGAATGGTTTGACTTCAGTTTTGTGAAACTATACATAAAAAATATCTGCATGAAACAGAAACAGCAGAGCTGAATGAGATGCAGATGCACTCTCTGCCAGCAGGTGGCGCTTAAAGCGTTTCCTGGTTTCCGCTGTAAACAAAGCAGCGCTGCACTTATGAACTTTAATATGCATTATACAGAGGCAAGATGAAAAGAAAAAATACCATCTAAACTATTCTAACGAAAGTAAGTTCCCCTCAGACATGCATTCATATAAACCAGGGGTGTCCAACCCTGCTCCTGGCGATCGACTGTCCTGCAAAGTTTAGCTCCAACTCTAATCAAAGACACATGCCTTTAATTTTTAAGTGATCCTGAAGACCTTAATTAATTGCTTCAGGTGTGTTTGATTAGGGTTGGAGCTGAACTTTGCAGGACAGTCGATCGCCAGGAGCAGGGTTGGACACCCCTGATATAAACTCTTACCCCTAAATGAATCGCGATTTGAATCGTCACGTATTTGAATCGATTTTCAACCGGTTAATCGTTACAAACCTTAATCCTAGGTGTTTATGATTTTTTTTCGTTTATGAGTTATTTTCGGGAGAATTTTCATTTTGGGGTGAACTATCCCTTTAAATGAATTATTGTTTTATTATTTATATATAAAGAATATGAATAGGAAATATTTTGTAACATTATAAATGTATCAAAAAAATCCTGAACTTTTGAACATTAGTTTAAATATTTTGAATTATAAATAATAATTATTTTAATTTTATTTTATTTATTTTTATGTTTTCTTTATTTTTTGCTGCATGCCATATAGACCACTGTTATATACAGTACTCTTGCACACACGTAATCAGTTGCTTTGTTCTTATTGGTTGTTTATTAGACGCAATAGCGGTCACACTTCTCAACTGCGACCTAAAATTTCCGACACTGTCAGAACTTTGTCTGATGCATTGACTAACTGGCTATCAGTGAAAATATTACAGTAAGCTATCCAAGACTGCCAGTCTTGTCCCATAATGATAGAAGTCTTTTATGTCTCAGATGGCAAAATTTTAGTCAAAATTGCACAGTGCGCACCAGGCTTTCATCTGATAACTGAAGTTAAATGAATCCATTGACTGAATATAAATTGCACTGAATTGATTTGAACCAAGCTATGTCCAGCAGATGTTTTAATCAACATGATTAATGGCAGGGTTTAGTTTACAATAAGCTAAACGAACACCATTAGAGCAGCAGGAGTCAGCACAGCAGAAAATATATATCCAGCTCTGGCTTTTCACATCTCTAAGATGGATATTTTGTTTTAGGCTCAGTCTACAGAGATGAGTTTGACCTGGCCATACTCAAGCTACAGGAGGAAAACCGCTTAGAGATCCTGAAGAGGAAATGGTGGGATGGTGGCAAGTGTCCGAAAGAGGAGGATCATAGAGCGAAAGGTGAACCACCTGTCACTCAACTGCAGGTCCAAACAGAATCTTTTACGAAACTTTTATCATGTTGTGTGTTTTTGTGTAGGTCTGGGCATGGAGAACATCGGTGGGATCTTCGTGGTGCTTGTGTGTGGTCTTCTGGTGGCCATCTTTATGGCGGTGCTGGAGTTTGTGTGGATGCTACATCATACGCCAGCAACAGAGGTGAGAGAGGGCTATTTTACCTGCCTTTGCTTTCTGTCCTACCCCCCCCACACACACACACACCCCATCCCACACCTCACAATCAGCACACCAAAGAATATACCTCAAACTGATCTACACAGGCCATCACACGCTAAAGGTGCCACACACTTTTAGATTTTATGCTTTTTAAATTTGAATGGAATGAAGTTCCTTCTGTTTTGTCTTTTTTTTCCCTCCCTCAAGCATATTGATAGTTGTGTGACTGCATTGTTTCAAATGAAACACTGTGATTTTTCTTACTAAATAAACACTTCAGCATGTTTCAGTAGAACCCCAAGACGTGACTTTTTTTAAGGGTGCAAATGCATGCTGTTTGTTTATAATGTCTTCATGACTAGTTGTGATTGCCCATATTCATATACCATTGTGGGTAAATATACCTATATGTATATGTATGTGTGTGTGTGTGTGCGAAGTGAGAATGGACTAAATGCTAATTGAAGACTGGTCGGGAATATGAGTGTTTGTGTGATTGTGTTTGTATTCATCAAGTCAAAATGACTAGTGCAGTGCAGTTTAATCCATTTTTTGATGAGTAGACTGAATATTTGCATTATGCCTAAGGGAAATGTAGCTTTGCGTGTTAGCATTAGATAATGCTAATAGTGTGTCCATGTTTGTTTATGTGTGTGTGAGGTGCATTCCTGCATGTAAGTGTATACTCAGCACCTTAAAATGCACTGGCATGGCTCGTCATCCAATAGGTAACAACTTTCTGTTCTGTATAACTGGTGTACATATCTTTATGCATACTATATCACATTGGTTCAACACCAAGATGACCACATTACAGCTCCTAGAATCACGTCATTGTTTGTATGCAGTGCCTTTTCAACCTCAAAACATAGCACCTACACTTTTGTGTGACATGTAAAGAATATAAGATATAACTAAAAGAAACTTTCTGCCACATCCCATTAGCATTCATTTTAAATTCACTTATAAAATCCAGATTTCAGCTGCTGAAGATCAACCAGTGCTTTTTTCTGAACATTAGACCTTAGTCAGATTAGACACCATATTCAATGAAAATGAGGCTGCGAGGGATAGACTTGCAGTCTTTACAATGGCACGCACTGTATAAATGTCCTAGTTCACATACATTTCACAAATGAAATTGTCAAAAATTAAATATGGTGCTACCTTGACTAAGGTCTATATCAAATATACTGCTGAAATGTATTTATTTTTTTTATCTGATCAATCCAATTTTTTGTCAACTGGTCAAAAATCCAGTAATCTCAATAAGAATCCACGCAATCTGAAATTTTGCATGAGGGTGAAAGATTTCATCATGCAGATTTTGCAACAGGTTCAAGTTGGTCATACGCATTCACTGTTGACCAACAGAAAGCTGCTTGGTTTGAAAGTGACTTCTGTGTCAGCTGTGCTTCACACAATGTTACACTACTGTCAATAGACAATCATGCCTTTTTTGTGACCTCATCTTAACACACTGGAACTAAACAGGGCATAAATTCAAAGGTTAAATTCTCAATGATATAGTGCTGGGGACTGAGGAAATTTTGTGTAACAATAGAATAAGTGCTTTAGTTTGAGTGGATATGCATAGTATTTCCCTTCAAATTTGATGTCACCATAGGAACTTAAGGTTGGGAAAACACTACTGAGGACAGAAGAAAAATACTACTGTTAAACAACCATTAAGATAAATGAACGATTCAAAGCAAAGATGATTTATTTAACAGTCCTTAATTAAAACTTTATTTTTATAATACTGTGCGATAATATTCCATGTATGACAGAATTCCATTAAGATGACAAATAGCACCAGAGGACATGGGAAAATGTGCCAACTCTGTTCGTAAAGTGATTAAAAATATACTGTATATGCATTCAGATAATCAGATTATTTTGTGTAAACGATCATCAAATCCTTTAGGGAGCAATTTGAGCCCAATTTTTCAAAGCAAAAGGCACTGCATACAAATAATGACCCAAACACAGCAGCTCCACTCACTTATCACATTTTTTTTTACATTTTTTATTTTATTTTTGTAATGCAAATCTAACAGAATACATTTAAAGAAGTGAACTTGTTGAGAATGTAATGAACACACACCAAGATCACCAAGCGCTTCAGGACATTTTCTCTGATTTCTCTGCGGTGCATCAGTCAGATAAACAGCCACTGCCACCTGTATAGCCCAGTGTTATTTTTGATCAATGCTCTGGCTGTGCTGCCTGCTACCCCCTGTGAGCAGTGTGTCAGCGAGACCCCCTGGACTCTCTTTCTCTCTCTTTCTCTCCCTCTGTCTCCGTGTCTGTGCCTCACAGCTGTCCATGTGCGAGGAGATGCTACGAGAGCTGCAGGGCATCGTGCTGTGTCAGGACAGCCTGCAGTTACGGCGCAGACGTGGAGCCAGTGTGTTGCGACCGCAGCCTCTGCCCCTGGATGAGCGACGGGCGCGGGCGGCGGCAACGAACCTCAGCAATGGCAAGCTGTGTACAGGCACTGGCCTGCCCGAACCCCTCTCCCACAGACTGGCGCAGGAGGCCACCCTGGTGGCACGAGGGTGCAGTCACATTCGCATCTGCCCGGAGTGCCGGCGCTTCCAGGGCATTCGAGTGCGCCCGGCCGGCCCTCCAGGAGCATCGCCCACCCACAGCGAGGAGAGTATAGAGTGGGAGAACCGCACCAACAACAGTGAACACGAATAACCTCTCGGATCTGTGGCGGATAGACATTAAACGACGGCTTTGCTGGACCCAGGGATTATGGGAACGTAGGCTCCGGGGAAGGAGCTAAAAGAGAAGCTGTCCATGCTGCTCGATTCGGCCCAGGAGCTGCATCTGGTTTCTGTACACTGTCCTTACAGCCCTCTGCTTTCGGGGGACACAGCAGAGGGGCTTTGTACTATGCAGTATATTTGTCTAAATGTGCTGTTGATTTATTTTTAAATTATTGCTCTTTTGTTGTGATACCACTATATTGCTATTATCTCCTTCTCACGACACCCGTTTAATTTGGTTTTTCACACCGTGGATGGCTGCAGACTGTGTCAACTACACGTTGACCAACACTGTTGACCAACAGAAAGCTGCTTGGTTTGAAAGTGACTTCTGTGTCAGCTGTGCTTCACACAATGTTACACTACTGTCAATAGACAATCATGCCTTTTTTGTGACCTCATCTTAACACACTGGAACTAAACAGGGCATAAATTCAAAGGTTAAATTCTCAATGATATAGTGCTGGGGACTGAGGAAATTTTGTGTAACAATAGAATAATTGCTTTAGTTTGAGTGGATATGCATAGTATTTCCCTTCAAATTTGATGTCACCATAGGAACTTAAGGTTGGGAAAACACTACTGAGGACAGAAGAAAAATACTACTGTTAAACAACCATTAAGAGAAATGAACGATTCAAAGCAAAGATGATTTATTTAACAGTCCTTAATTAAAACTTTATTTTTATAATACTGTGCGATAATATTCCATGTATGACAGAATTCCATTAAGATGACAAATAGCACCAGAGGACATGGGAAAATGTGCCAACTCTGTTCGTAAAGTGATTAAAAATATACTGTATATGCATTCAGATAATCAGATTATTTTGTGTAAACGATCATCAAATCCTTTAGGGAGCAATTTGAGCCCAATTTTTCAAAGCAAAAGGCACTGCATACAAATAATGACCCAAACACAGCAGCTCCACTCACTTATCACATTTTTTTTTACATTTTTTATTTTATTTTTGTAATGCAAATCTAACAGAATACATTTAAAGAAGTGAACTTGTTGAGAATGTAATGAACACACACCAAGATCACCAAGCGCTTCAGGACATTTTCTCTGATTTCTCTGCGGTGCATCAGTCAGATAAACAGCCACTGCCACCTGTATAGCCCAGTGTTATTTTTGATCAATGCTCTGGCTGTGCTGCCTGCTACCCCCTGTGAGCAGTGTGTCAGCGAGACCCCCTGGACTCTCTTTCTCTCTCTTTCTCTCCCTCTGTCTCCGTGTCTGTGCCTCACAGCTGTCCATGTGCGAGGAGATGCTACGAGAGCTGCAGGGCATCGTGCTGTGTCAGGACAGCCTGCAGTTACGGCGCAGACGTGGAGCCAGTGTGTTGCGACCGCAGCCTCTGCCCCTGGATGAGCGACGGGCGCGGGCGGCGGCAACGAACCTCAGCAATGGCAAGCTGTGTACAGGCACTGGCCTGCCCGAACCCCTCTCCCACAGACTGGCGCAGGAGGCCACCCTGGTGGCACGAGGGTGCAGTCACATTCGCATCTGCCCGGAGTGCCGGCGCTTCCAGGGCATTCGAGTGCGCCCGGCCGGCCCTCCAGGAGCATCGCCCACCCACAGCGAGGAGAGTATAGAGTGGGAGAACCGCACCAACAACAGTGAACACGAATAACCTCTCGGATCTGTGGCGGATAGACATTAAACGACGGCTTTGCTGGACCCAGGGATTATGGGAACGTAGGCTCCGGGGAAGGAGCTAAAAGAGAAGCTGTCCATGCTGCTCGATTCGGCCCAGGAGCTGCATCTGGTTTCTGTACACTGTCCTTACAGCCCTCTGCTTTCGGGGGACACAGCAGAGGGGCTTTGTACTATGCAGTATATTTGTCTAAATGTGCTGTTGATTTATTTTTAAATTATTGCTCTTTTGTTGTGATACCACTATATTGCTATTATCTCCTTCTCACGACACCCGTTTAATTTGGTTTTTCACACCGTGGATGGCTGCAGACTGTGTCAACTACACGCAACCTTTTTTAGAGTGCCAAAATACTTTGTATTAATTCTGTGCTGTTGCCATCTCATTCCAGCCCCTGAAGGAGTAACTATTAAGGGAACTGAACACAAAAACAACTACGATCTGTTTTTATTAATAGTTATATTCTATTAAAAAGGTTTTTGGGATGTTTCTGAATGTTTGATGTGCATGTACGAAGGTTTTAGATGCTACTGAATGGAGAAGAACATGGGAATTATATTTTTTCTGGTTAAAGACACTTTCTATATTTTGCTTTTCATTCTTTTAAGTTTTGATTCATTTTGTTGCACTTCTCGGATATGAAAATTGCACATAGTTGTGGGAAAGTGGAAGATTATGCTCCCATTTAGGAAATTTGCATTGGGAAACTAACTAGAATTTATGCCAATTTCAATTCACCCTTATTTTTGCCGTTCCTGCAGGGCGCTTGGAGGTGTCAGATGTATTCACTTTCAAAAAAACATCTGGAAAGCGAGATCGGAGGTGATTTTGTTCATGTTGAGGTCTTACATTCATCTGTACCACTCAATACATGATGAAATCAACTACAGACAGGGTCACTCCATCTAGACATATCTGTGTGATGAGACATTGGAGATCATAGGCCTATATACATTCAGGTATTTCTTTATATTACATAACATCTCATAATGTTTCATGTTTATTTTCTTGTTTGAAACCAGAAACGTTCATTTGTTCATGTGACGTCTTGGATTCATACTTCTGTTGATCACCCACCTTTTAAAACTGAATTCAACCAGTCAGTTTTTCCAACGTACCACAGCTGAAGCAGAATTTGGATACCAAAATGAAATTATTTTATTAGGCATGATGTTACCCTCAACTTGCAGTGCCAAATTGTAATAAATTGCCTTCACGTTTTGGAGAGCCATTAGAGGTTACTTACAACCCATGTTGATTTTTTTTCTGTGCATTTCTATTGAACTGAATCCATTTCTACATGATATTTCAATACGGTGTTAGTGCCTGACAAAAATAAATGGCATTGTGTTCAGTTCTGTGAAAGGTTGGCTTTGTTCTTGAAGGTTTTGTCTCTTGGATCTGTCGGCCTTCTCTGTAAACATTTCTTTTTCTAGGTGCGCAAATAGAGCTCCATTCATTTCCTATTGCAGGCTGGAATGGCTGTGTGAGTGTGTGTGTTTCAGGCTCTGAAGAACAATGGCAAAGCTGTATGTGCAGGTGGGTTTTCGCTGGATACACAGACCTGCAGACAACTCTAATCGGGGCAACTTCAAGATGTGACACGTTTACTATGTGGGGCATGGCATCAGCTGCACATCTGCTTTAGATTCACAGAGGCACAAGCTGGTTTAAAGAATCAACAAACAAGCAAAAACATTTGGGAGACAATTACTGCTTGGAGTGACAACTGACTGTTTACACAAGAAGGTTAAAACAAGTAGTTTACAATTAGCATTTACAATTTGGGTAAAAGCAATGAAATATTCCCAAAAATGTATATGCAGCAATAATTCAGATCTGTCATAAGAATTGTAGCATCGTGCAAAAGTTATAAGCTTCTAATGTCATTGAAATGCTCAGTTTGCACTCAGACATGACTAGTTTATTCCATAATCCAAAGTGATCAATAATAGGAGGGTTAACAAGATAAAGAGAATAATATCTGGCTTGTCATGTGACCTCAAAATGGCTTACTAAGTACACTTTTGTGATTGCGTTATTAATTTCTCTTTACTAAATACTTCATATAAATATTTGGCTCAATGAAAACTTACCACCCAGTCTCATGAAAAAACAACAACAACTATTTGATGAGGTTGCAATGTAATTTATACAAAACTGATTTTTAGAAAGAAGCAAGCATGAAGGTCCATCTCTAAATATATGGGGTGTAAGCATATTATATGAAAACATGCAAATGAAATTGAACTAATTCATATAAATTAGCCACCAATTCGCCAAAATGTAACATTGCCATGAGATTGTTTTGGAGCTTTTGTGTTTGCCTCAATCCTGAGTATTTTCAAACTGAAGAAATATCTTCAACATCTGCAAATGTCTAAATGATGGAAACCCATTTAAGTTCCAGGGTTCAAACACTAAGTTGTCCAGCGCTATGATGGTTTGATAATAATGAGTGTGAATTGTTCAGAGACTGAAATGTTGGGGCTGAAGACAGGACTTATTAGTGAGACACGCAAAGCTCTCAGCCCAATCAGTCCGGATGCATTCCCGAGGGCAGAGCCTCTATCTCTCTCAGCATACTGCCCTTCTCCAGCCCATTTATTTCTTAATTCAGCTCTAACCTGTTTCCACAGAATGAAATTGCATCTCTAGCTTTAATTCCTTCTAGTGTCGCAACTGGTTTTTGTCCAACAGAAGGAAATTTGGCTTTTTTGCTGATTTACACTTAATGACATCACTAAATTAGATGTCGTGTGTTGTTGCGCTCCGAAATGTGTCAGACTGCAATTCAGGCACGTGTTGCATTTCCAGCGTTGTATGGGGCAGGGGCACCATAAACCTTAATCAGGGTATAGGGCCGTAATAATACTCAACAGGAATTAAATTGTTTTACATAGGCTACCAATTGTCCAGCTGATGAAATGTCTTTCCGAGACAAAAACACCTTAAAAAAGTTTTGAAAGTTAAGTGACATATAACCATTTATACATGCTATTGTAAAGACTTTAAGTCTATCACTCACAACCTTGTTTTCATCTGCACTAAATTCAATATGGCATCTAACCTATAAAATTGCCTTCTTTTGTGCTAGATGAACGTTGCTTGTGTCTTGTTTGCGTCTTGTGTTTTTAAAAACAAAAAAAATGCTTTCTGTGTGAATGGCCACAAAGTTAAGCCTACTTATAGCACTTGAATAACAACACATGTAATTTTATGTCAGAGGTATTTGAATGTTACGTTTTATGAATAGTGTTGGCTTGCCACATCTTAGTGATTTTCAGTTTCACAAATTATTTATTATCAAAGGCAGTATATTAAAACAGCCCGTTCTTCTAAAATGATACAATTTTCAATCTTTAAAAGGACACAATGCTGCTACAAATCTTTTTCAGATCACTGGTTTGTCGTCTACAGCAGCATTGATCTTAGACTCTTTTTAATGTTCTGAAACATAGTATCAAAGGTAAGTAACAGCATAGCTCAAAATGTTATTTCCCATTTTCGTTTTCACAGTGGAAGTGCTGTTAACATCCCTGTGAGTGCGGGTAGAGATAATGTCATGTTCATTTTGCCACCTTTTGTTCTCCAGCAGT